CAGCAGGAAGCTCTGAACACTCTGTTCAGCCAGTTTGTCCAGCTGCTTGTCCTGTTCTTTTCAACTCGAGCAGTTACTGTTTATGCCACTGGACAAAACTTCCATTACTTCCATGTGGCAGATTTTTTTTGTTCTCTGATGTATGTGTCAGCTGTGGAAATGGTTGTGGGAATTTGGGGCTAAAGATGAAGACCATTTCTGCCCTGACCTTAAAACAAAGTCAAACTGCAGAAGAGTGTTCAAGAAGAATGAGTCCCTGAACTTAGGAAATGTTTTTTGAGTGCTCTTTGCTTCCTCTTTACTGTAGCAGGGTTACATGGATTTTCCTGTGGTGTGAAAGCAGCGTGCATCCAGCATTACTCAGCCTGTGCCAGGAAATATGTAGTATCTTCCTTTTGTTGGCTGTAAGTCAGAAAAAAGAGGTGCAGGGTAAGGGGAGCCTGCTAGGCTACCCTTCTAGCATCCAAATCCACTTACTTACCTCAGTGTAGAAAGAGGAACGACGATTCCAGCTTCTTTGCCAGTGAGAGTCCATCCTCAGCACAAGAGCTGTGGTAGCTTCTTGTATTGGCAGATACATAGGGAGTGCTTTATGTTGCACTACAGTGCTGGGTGGAGTTGCAGTCAGGACACCTGAATTATGAAATGAAGCTGGACTTACAGAGAGTTGAGTCCATAGGCCTCTGAACTCTCAACCCTCCTGCCTCCCCAAGGTGCACTGCTATTTTGTCTCTTTACCTGGCTGCCTTGTTTGTTCAGGAAAGGCGGGCAACAGCACAGAAAACACTTCACTGGTAGTGGCAGGGCTTATGACATGACATTGCTTCCAAATGCAAAACTAGTGGCATGGGACACTTTCAAACTTGCTAATTTTATCAGTGGATGTACAGTTGGTAGAATAAGTAGAAGAAGATAGATGATTGATAAAAGAGATTGCTCTCTGTCAATATCTGTAGGGTTGGCAGGTATGTTTTGCTGAACTGTGTGGTGTTTAAGGGCGTCTTGTACTCATGATGGTATTATTTTAGTGCTTCTCCCTTGATTGCTGTGGGACTGCTTACAAACTGAAGGAATATTTGGCTTGCATAAAGATGGGTTTTGCCATCTTTAATTGTTTTTAATATAGTCTGGCTTTTTCATAAACATTCTCACTGCAAATTCATTGTCAAACTTCAAATCTAGTCCTGAATTCTAAATCTCTGCTGTGTGCTTGTGTATATTATATCTTGCTCTGCTCTTAGAGCTTCATAACATCCCAAGGGAGCAGCAGACTCACAAAGCTTACTCCCTACTTTAAATCATACAGTCCTCTTCTGAGCCTTTCCATACCAGATCACAAGCTGGGAATAGTAACAGCTGAAATACGTAGACAGAGTTTGTCTTTCAGAGGGTTATTTTCTGTGCAGCTCTGTTTAACCAAGTGTTTCTACGTGTTCTCTTAATTTCAGATATCACAGTGTTTAAAAATCCTTACAAAAGCCAAATTTAAAAAAACCTTTAAAAATAATAATTCTGTATTTTAAAGTTATTTTCTCTTTAAAATATTCACAAGTAGCAGATTTTTCCAGGTGCTACCGTAACTAAATAGGAAATGTATCCTGAAGATAGTGTACTGTCTCATTTTTCTTCAGGCTTCTGTTATATATACATTTAATGACATTATGATCTAGCAGATATATGCAATTGCGTATGAGAGTTATGCACTGGCACGTTTTCATGTTGTCTTCTCTTTAGAATTCAGTCTTCTTTTAATAATTTCTTACAATTAACTTGAAATTAAAAGTAAGAGGCTGTTTGATTGGTCGAATTGTAGCGATAATGTCTGTTAGTGTTGATATGTTGCTTTAAATTTCAGGAGATAACTAATATGTAATCTCCAGAAAAATAGGGGTTTATTTTTAATTTTACTAAACCCATTGGGACTAACTCAGGGCACTGGCCTTTTCCAAATTAATTCTTGCTTGAAGAGTGGAATGCATTCCTTCTTGGATGAAAGCATCTCCTTTAGAAAAGTGTACTTTATGAACTCAGGAATGGAATGTTTCCGGAATTAATTCAAATTTCTGTTATGCAGGTGGTCAGGTTGGAGGATTTAGTGTATATGAACAATTCCACAATTAGATAAAATTTTTTATTTCCCTTACACGGTCCTCATATATTGCATTCTTTTACAGTGACTGGGAGTTTTATTAAGTTGAACAACTCATGTAAATGGAAATACTTGGGTGAAACAGAGTCTTTGTCAAGGGCACAATGCAGTAGCAATCACTGTGAAGTTCAGAGTGCATCTTCCATGTCTTTGGATTTTTCTTCTCCTTCTTCTAATTCACAGTGCCAGAAGTTAAAACATTTTTTTGCTCTTGTATCTAAACGTAACTCTTCCCATCTTTTATTCTGTTTGATAGTCCTTTTAAAAGATTGTTTCTTGGGATAGGAGATAATGAGCAACAATCAAATGAAAAAGAAATAATCTTTTGGCATGTAAAGTAAAAGATGGTCAGAAGATAACTGAAGTTGAATTCCTAGGGAAAAACATTATCCAGAGGTACACAATTGGATTAGAGAGTAATTCAGTTTGAAAACGAGGTAGTAATACTATGCCCTCTTATTTGGTGAAGCACAGTGCACTATATAAAAAGCTATTTTTGATTCATCTTGCAGAAATTTAGTTCACAGATATGAAAGTGATATATGGATCAAGATTTTTCTAATTAAAGAGATAAATTAATAAAAACTAATAGGTTAATCTCTCAAAGTAGGATAAGCCCCACTTGGTTCTCACTAATGGTAATAGAAATCATGTGGTTAAGTTGTCTTAGAATGCTTAGGAAACTTGCACTTAAGACTATGTGATGCAGAGCCAAAAGCAGCGAGAGTCATTGTGTTTTTGGCGATTTGCCTCAGTGGGGCTTTTTCTAATTTTTCCTTTTTTTTCTGTCTAGATGTTTAATAAAATTAAACTATAAATATTTGTGTTTTGACTGGTTTGTGCTGGCTAGGGAAGAGAGTGACAAGTTTTGCCATCCACTGAATATTGGTTGAAATGACTCACTTGTGCGTGTTTTCATATATGCACTTTAACATTAGTTTCCAAGACATTAACTTGAGTCCAGAAAAGGGCTTCAAGGTCTGTCAGATACTAAATATTTTAAAAAGTAATTTCAGTTTAATTTTGATATCCATAAGGTAAATATTTCAGGAGGGTTTGTCTTCAGCACCAGGAAAATACCTCAGAACAACTATGTCTTACTTGTTCCAAATTTCTCATTTACCTCTCTTGTTAATTTGATTGCAGATGTTGGACTGTACCTGTGGCTATACTGAAATCCACATACTTATTTACGTCCTTCTGAACTGCATTTCTGAATTCTAGTTTATATGTTACCCACTCCAGAACGTGTACCTCCTAGCCCCACTGACCCAATCTAGCCCTAGAGGAACTCTGTACTTGATGTAACTGTTTCTCTGTCTGTATTATTTACTGTGTAGAAGGAGAAAACCTGTTTCAAGATCTTAGTTGATTGCAAAATTATGAAACCACTATGTTTGATTCAGATGTCAGCAATGCTTTTTTTCCTAAATGACGCTAACAAAAATGTACACAAATACGTTTCCTGAAAATTTACATATGCATCCAGCTTCTTAATTTTTAGCCAAGAATGTAATGTATTTTATTAAGCCTATGTAAGAATATGAACCAACAGTTGGCTGAATGAATGTGACTCTCCTTATGAAAGTTTTGCTGAATGAGTTTTGACATATATTCCTACCATAAGAGTCAATATCTGGAATAACAATTTAGCCTTTAAATTTTATTGTCCTCTGAAGTAAACGCTGCCATTTTGCTTATTTTGGATTAATGTTTGATTGGCAAGGCCAACTTCTTAATTTTACTAAAGCTTGCAGAGGGGAGGAATATTGAGGAGAGACGCACAATGTAAACCAAAGCTCACTTCTGGTTAGAGATAGAACGTGTCTGTGTCATAGAGGTCTGAGTTTCCTTTTTTTTAGTAGTAATGACAGCATAATCTCAGTAGCCCTGTGAATCTAATTACCAGCTATTGAAAGTATTGGTCTATATTGCATAAAATCATGTTAAAAAATCCTGAAAAAAGGGATTTTAGTGTTCTGAAGTTCCGTGTTTTTATTCACATTCCTATTTCCTTTTCTGGTTAAAATATTTCCATATTTGAAGCCTAATATTATGTGATCATAATGTACTCATAGTATCCCCTAATGCTACAATTTCTCTGCAGGCTGCCTGTGACTTGCTGCGGAGGATAATACGCATCTTGTATCTCAGTAAGAGACTTCAAGGACAACTGCAAGGAGGAAGCAGAGAGATAACAAAAGCTGCCCAGAGTCTCAATGAACTTGGTGAGTCCTTCTTAGTAACTTTTAGAGGCTTTTTTAGCTTGCACTCATGACTCACACTAGTGTTTGACTTAAAAAAACTAAAGAAACTCCCAAAACTTTTCACTGTGGTTCTTGCTGTCTACTTCTTGATTTGAATTGAGAAATGGTATGGACAGAACTCATTAGTATCTCCAATTTTTTCATATGACCTCTCTAGATAAAGGTATTTAATAACATGAAAATTCTATGATAATAACATGTTCTTTTAGGAAACAATTTTTTTGTGAAGCAATTAATTTCTTATTGGTTCGTGTTTGTATAAAACACCTTCAGAGGCAGCAGATATATATTTAGCTTTTGGAAGACATTGCACTACAGTAAGGCATAGTTTGAATTACAGTTTACATCCTAAAAGAAAATCCTTGTCCTTGTGACCTTTGTGAAAGCCATATGTGATACGATATTCAGATAGCTAACCTAATTCAGATACCAGAAGCATTCTGCTGCAGTAGTGGATAATTTACCCTGTATTTCATTGGCTTCTAAGAATGGTGAAATAATTCTCATGAAGCTCATGTTACACTGCTACATTGTTTTCTGTACTCGAGCTAGCTTGTGTACTTCACGCTGTGCTGCAGGATGCAGTGAGGAACATCCCATTAGTCTTGGAGATCAGTTGTCGTTGTCGTTGTTGTATATGGTACCTTGCCAGCTGTTTCTCCTTTGGTTTTATGGTATTCAAATTTTGACTTCCAAACCCTCCAGGTTGTGGGAGGGCTGGACTATCAAACATTCAGAATCATCCTGAGGCTTATTGTGCGTATTTCTCACCAGTGCTCTTTTTATACTGTGTAATCAAAAAATTATTAGACAATGACTTAGTCTTATAATTAGCAGATGCTGTGTTGCAAATGGAAAGTTTATATATTTATTTAGTATATCAGTTTGACTGAAATCCTTAAGCATCAATTATAGCATTCTAAGCTAGAAATTTTTTTTCTAATTTTCTATTTTTTCCAATTTTTTATTTCCATTTTGGTCTCCCCTCACATCTTCAGGATATATAAAGTAATACTATCTTTTAACTACCTGAATTACAAGTCTTGTGTGATTAATCCAAATGCTAGGTCCCACTCAAATAATTGGTGCAATTTAATGGTAAAATCTGAGATGTTTATCTTGTGTATTTTTTAGGATTTCTTTCTTTTAAAGAAAATGCCTTTTATTACTCTCCTTCCTCTCGTTTTCTTCTTTCACCATTTAAAAAAAGAACTTCCACTTTCTTTTGTTAAAGTGCCACAGTCTTTTGAGTTTTTTGTTTTCAAATACTTGGTCTTTTCCTGAAGCTTAGAAAAGTCTGAGTAATTATTATTGTAAAAGATGAAGGGAAACGTGTCCGCTTTAGGAAGCCCTTTTGAGTTTCATCCTACACTCCATAGGGCGGGATTCCAAGGCTTGCGGTCCTTAATTTAATCCTCAATTAAGCCTTAATTCTGGATGGTTTATGGCCAGGTAAAATCCCTTGCCTATTGTCATTTCTCTCTCCCTCTCTTTTCCTGGTGTCTCTTCCTTTCTTCCCTCTCACCTCTCCATCTACATCCCTCCCTCATCTTTTGGCTATCTGCTCTTTGTTATCCTCTGCTGCTCACCTTGGCTGGTCTGAATTCCCAGCTGGCCCGACAGCCAGCACCCGGGTGGATGGGAACACCCCACTGAGGAGTGGCTGGTCGGGTGGGCTGGAGGTGACTGTCCTGTGTGGTGAGGTGGTGGCTTGCTGGGTGTGGTGTAGCTCTGTTGAGAGGGGAGGAAAGGACTCAGTGGCTGGAGTCAACACAGTTCAGGGTACCGCAGTGGGAAGGTGGTGTGTTGCAGTGGGAAGGTGGTGTGTTGCAGTGGGAAGGTGGTGTGTTGCAGGGAGGCTGGATTTTGGGGTATGGCTGGGAAAGCACTGTGCTGTGCTTCTGGTCTTAGAAAGCTTGGGGTTGTGTGGGAGATCTCTAGGGTGGAGGTGGAGGTGGCATGGGGCAGGAGAGCAGTGAGGCTGTGGTGACTCGGGATGAGGTTGTGGAAATGCTGTGCTTCAGAAAGATGGGAAATGTGATGTAGTGCTCTGTGGTGTTGGGAGGGTGGGAAGCATGGGGAACAGACACTGGGCACTGGTTGTTTGGTGGTAAGTTACAAAAGCTTTGGGAGGGCTTGGGAATCAAAACTACAACATCTGATGGTAGTAAATAGGTGGCAGACGAGTGGTGTAAAAGGCTCTTATTGGATAGGATAGGGAGCTCTGCATCGTGGAGGCTTGCTTTTGAATTGAGGATCATGGCCAAGATTAATATTAATTTATGTTTTTAGCCAGTTATTTCTGAATATCCCTTTTGGCTCTCATTCAGGGAAAAATTCTTCCCATTGTTTGTTACCTTTCTGTTGTAAGTGTGGTGCAGTATAATTTCTGCTTTGTTGAAATCAGCAGCGCTGTGATATTACCGTGAAAGCTTTGTGCTTTCTATGATATAAAATACCTTTTATTGCTTATAAGTTGTTCTGGGTGGAATCTTGGAATAACTGGCCATTTATTTTTATGTACTGTTATACTCTGTGTGTATGTTTGTGGCACGCAAACGTGTGTGCCCATTTAGGTATATGTATTCAACATATATTTCCTCAGCAAATCTATGTTAGTTCACTTACAGCTTTTACTTAGTTGTATCTTGAAGTTTATTTTGCAGTGATGGGAAAAGATATGATAAAAATATAGTATCTTGGAATTAGATAGAAATACGGGTCAGTCAGAGGAACTGCAAGAAACAGTAGCTTTTACTGAGAAGAGGTTTTTTTAGTGGACACTTTGTTAAGTTGCTAGTAGTCTGCACATCTCCAGTTTCAGTGTATGATATTAGAAACTTTACTCTGAAACCATTTGGTAATATTTTCACTGAGATCTCTACTTAAAGCTAAAGTAGATCTAAAATTCCTCTGTGTTGGACTTTCACATTCTTTGAAATTAGCTTCCCATTTCAGCACAGTAAAAAGAAAAACTGAATTCCCTATGTAATTTTTGGAGATGAAATGTGATTAATATGTGTGTGTGTGTGTCTGTCTGTCTGTCTCTCTAAATATAAACCTCCAAACTTTCTTCTGCAACTCCTCCATCTCCCAACACACTTCTTTGAGTTTTCTAGCAAAGTAGAAACAGAGCTGTGGTAGTCCATTGAATATGCTATTAGCTGCTTGTCTAGTGATGATACTTCATATTATACAATCGTATGGATACATATATATACACACATATATATTATACATATGGATAAATAAAGGAAGTCGCATATTCGGCTGCCAGACAGTGCCTAATGCAGTGAATTACATGCCCTGACTATGCTTCTTGGTGATATTTCAATACAAATATTTTATAAAGTGAAAAAGAAACATTCCTAAGGAAGTTTAAACAATAGAATGTGACAAGAAAATGGTGCACTATCTGCAGTTCCCCTTCACAGAAGAAATTCTGTAGGTATTAAAAATCTGCTGTCTTCTATGTGGGTATGCATAAGTTACTGTCTGCAACAGTAGCCAGTAACTGACCAGATGAAGATGAAAAAAATTCTTAGTTGTGCAGCGAATGGCCAGCTTGATGGCGGACAAGTTGTTAATTCCATCTATCAGTTACAGAGCTAGCTCTGGACATCAAAGGATTTATATCTTCTGCTCGTTCAATACCTGTAACTGATGTCATCATTAGTCATGTAAATGCCTAGACTAATTTTAATTATAATAAACTCCTAGTCTCTCTATATGGTTGTATTATAATTTATTTCACAGCAAGTGAATTTATCTGCTTGAATGACCTTGTGAGCATATAATACTTGTAGGCAGGCTGTCACAGCAGCCATAATTTTCCTCTTTTGTAAACTCAGAGTTAGCCTGTGACTAAGCTGTGCAACCATGAAATGAAGGGGAGTCCATGGAAATACAGTTTTGGGTGTCTTCAGTAAAGAAGTTGCTCCAGGACAATACTACCTTCTGTTTAACTTCTGAGAAGAGAGGATGGGGAAGATAGGACTATGATGTTACTTTAAAGTTAAATGCTTCTAGAGAAAAGGCAAAATATTGTCAGTTACGGAAGTCTAGCTAAAATGGAGAAAACCCTACATATGTATTGTGTTCCTTATAAAGAGGGAGCAAAGCTTACACATGGCAGTTATTTAGGCTTAACTTGACAATAGAAGACTTAAGGGAAATTCAAAGAAATAAAGCTCAATTTTGATGGTACTTGTAAGGAGGTGTGGCTTGGATGGAGAAAACTGAAATTAGTTAGGATATGCATGATACTGGGTGAAATATAATTTGAAAGAAGTTATTTGGCTATGGCTGGAAGGTCTCTTTGTAGCTGCCGTAATGTAAGTGGTAGCAGCCCTGTCTTCTAAAGTGCACTCCAGAATAGTGACATCCGCACAAAGGTAACAGTGATCTTGGGCCTGAAAAATTCTCTTGTGGAGGCTAGAAAAAAAATGGACTTAACACCTTTCTAGGGTAAACAAGATGTGTCATGATATCACTTAAACAAGAAAAAGCCTGGGTATAGCTGGTATGTCTGTCTAAATCAGAACAGGAGGAAATGGGAGGAGGAAAATGACCTCTTGTCTGCCTGCTGCCTGCTTTAATGGAGATTGCATTGGTGGGACCTTGTCTCATCCAGTATTGAGGTTTCTCTGTTTCAGTGTGCTTTCCTAGTATTCGTACTACAGATAGTGCCCTGGAGTTTCCACTGAAAGGGAACACCATTTTAAAGATTGTGAAGTTATCTATAGTGTTACATCTCTTGTCACTCAGTTTATGTGACAAATTCACTGTTTCTTTTTACACTTAGTTCTTGTAGTTTTGTGTTGTAGTAATGTCACATGGTCTGTTTTCCCCATCTTTGAAAATGATTATAATATTAAATAGAGCAAAATTTTTCAAAATATTTTAAACCTGAGAAGTCTTATTTTTTCTTCTTTTTCTCTGTTGCTGTTAAAACATGGATTTATTCCATAGAAAGGAGAGTGTGTTCCTTTGTGTGCATATGTATATATGT